ATATATAGGTATACGGTATAGAATACACAGTGCAGGAAATAAAAGTTGGAGAAAAAACAAAACACAATATAGGCCTATCAGTCGATTCTGAAATTAAAACTTTAAAAGTTAAAATTTGGCCAATTTTATGCAAAAAAATGTAAGTTTTGCGTTCTGTGGCACCTAAAGCTGCTTTAAAAAAGGTGATTTCTATTTTATTATTCAAAGTCTCGCTCTTCATTTGGTTTGAAATTTAGATAGAAACGCCCTCTACACATTTCCAATTGTTTCATATTCATCATTTGCATACGGTATTTTATAATATATTTTAACACGATTTTAGTAGCCTTTATTTTTATATGAAATATAAAGTACTTTAAGATAATACTAAATGTTCATTAAAATCATTAAAAAATGTTCTAAATAAGGCAAAAAAGCAATTTCGCTGCACAATAATACAATAAATAGGCCATAATGTATCCTCGTTGATTGCTTCTGCAGGTAATAACACCAATACAATACGTACAATTAAACCAAATATATTCTAATCACATGCAAAATAAAATCACCTGACTCTCTCCCTGACGGGTTCCGGGGTCGACGAGGCTTCTTGTCGGTTATACGCCGGTAACCCTACGCTGAGTCTGGGCCCGGGCCTTGGCGAAGGCCCGAGCCTTGGCGAGGTTGAGTACTTAGCCTTGCGGCATCATTGATGATCGCTTGGCGGTGATACTTGACAGGACTAGGCGATTAACAGACTGCAGGGGAGATGTACAGGGAGTCTCAGTCAACTGACAGGCACTCGGGATGGTATGCTAGGTTCAGTGCATCATCATGGCTTAGGGGTCGCACTGCTTCCTCCCTCCGTTCAGTTGGCTGGGGCCGAGCAAGTAGTTCTATCGTGCATTTAAGTGACCAGCGTACGAGGAGTGAAAACTTGAATACTAAAGAACAGAACACACTTGCAAACATGGTATTCACTCCAGAAAGTAAACACACACTCACTATCTGGATATTCATGTTGAACATGCTGGAACTAACAACTAAAATGGAGTTATTCTTTTTTTTTGACCAAGCTCTTTTGTGATGCTTCCATGTCGGAAGTGTGGGAATAATGTTAGTGTTTGTGTGGGAACTAATTTTATGTTTAGGTTTGGTTATTGGTGCATTCTATTTTCATGCATGTGTATTTTTATGCGATTGTTATCGGCCTATCTAAATCAAAGTTTTATGATAGATCGTTTTTAAGTCACTATAGGCCTATAAATAATATTACACTTTATTAAATTAATTAAAATGATTTAGATAGAAACATTATAGAATGTATATCCCTACGCAGACAATGATTTTGAGAACATATAACGGCATTAAGATCATAAATTTATATATTTAGAGATTGTTATAATAGGCCTACTGTATTTAAATTACAACGCATTTTACGACCCATGGGTCGTTTTTACGTCACTATATATAAATAATATTACAATTTAATAAATTAATTAAAATTGTTTTACTTAGCCTACTTTTAAAAAGTACTTAGATTTACATTGTTGGAATGTAGGTTGTAAAAACATATGCCTCGTGAGTTTCACCTATAAGCTTTAAATAGATTATTTTGTAAATAGCATTCAGTCTTCCATATTTTTTGTGTTTGGTAATTGTTTGTACACGGGTCCCTCATCACAATATGCAGTCTTTTAACGCCAACATGATGTCAATGGCTGCCGAATATCTGAAATCAGACGGCTACAAGTACCAGTACCAGTTCTAACACAGGTGCTACGGTTAGCGCTAACGGTTAGCTCCCGATCCGGTTAGCTCACTTCTCGTGAGAACCTTTTTAGTGGCATTAATGGACTTTCGTACTGGAGGGATGAAAGGTAAATATAAGCGTATAGTGAGAAGTTTAAATTTTCCCAAGTTTGGACACTGGGCCCAATTGCGTATGTCAATTTAACATTATTTAAGATTAGATTTCAAGTGGCATTTGTCAACGTATAAAGCACTGTAATGTTTCGTAGGTGCCAATAGAACACAAACAAACTGAAAATGGCTGTGAATTAAGCCTCAGTTAAGCATATATTGAATTATTATTATTATTAATATTATTATTATCATCACAATCATCGCCATCATCGTCATTACCATCATCATCATCATTGTTAGTATTACCATAGAGAATCTCTATGGTATTACTATTACTATTATTATTTTTGTTATTATTAGTCACACTTAGGTTTAATATGTAAATAACTGTATGGATATTCAATTGTACCAGAGCAGAGATCAGTTTGACATTACAATACTTTATTAACTAAAGGCTTATATAATGCCCACCCATTCAGGAAATGAAAAAGCTATAAAAATGATTTTATATACAAACTACGCCAAGTCTACACCAAAGTCATTAATATAAAATAAAAAAGAAATAAAAAAGAAATAAATTATGTTGACAAATAAATAAAAATATAAGTACAGTATATGAAAAGTCTAAAAATAGTGTTAATTAATTTGAGTGCTCAGGTCAATCTAACGACCGATGGATATCAATAAGATAGGTGAATAGTTGGATAGATAGGTGGATGGATGGATGGAAAAATGGATAAAGGATGGATAGAATCAATCGATCAATTATTGTTATATTACCTAATCTCCTCAATAAAGTAAGAATAATATGGACCTATATACTGTATCCTTAACATATGTTTCTTGAATCATAAAAGTGCACAAATGGAAAAGGAGCAGACAGACAGAAAAAATGGATGGATGCATTAATAGATATGTTGACTCATCGATCTATTACTATTGTAATATAATCCGATTTTCTCAACAAATTAATCATATACGTGTATCCTTAATATCCTCATATATTTCTTGAATCAAACAACTATAAGTTTTATGGAGTGTTACGTTTTAATAATAACATGTTTCCATCACTAAAATAAATTTATAGACTTTTAAAAAAGAGATACTGTATTGAACTACGGTATTTAAAATTTTAGATATTAGAGACAGCAAAGATTCTTGTGGTATAAAAGAGAATGAAAACGGAAAATTTTGATTTCTTTCTAATTTATGTCCACTGCTAATCTTCTCGGTAAACTCGGTATGCTGGTACATTGCTTGTTATCCGGTCTAAACAACATCAATGGTACATCCACTGCTCTGAAATTATCTATTTATAACGTCTTTTAACCTCAACCTTTGAACATTAAGGGTGTTTATTAATCGTTCTTCATCCTGTGTTGCTTCCCATATATAATGGCTACATTTGTCTGTTGGTCTCTAGTTTGGTTTCTTAAAACGGCTGACATTAAAGATCGTAACCTAAAAAGAAATCAGTATTTGAATATTAGTTTTGTATAGCTATCAAGATTATCATATTATGATTAGTTATAATTATGATTAACAGTTTATATAAATTATTGTAATAATGAATTATTAATCATTCCAATATTATAATAATTATACTGTATATTATACATATACATATATATATATGTATATATATATATATGTATATATATATATCATATATATATATATATATATATATATATTATAATGAAAAATAATGAATCTAGGGGTTAGATTAGTGCAGGTATCCGTGTTGTAGAGGCAGTGCCTATTGGGACAGTTGGGACAGTACCACACAATTTTTCTATTGGGTCCACAAAGAATGGGTCTACATTTTAAAATTGGGTCCAGATTTCTCATATTTTGTGTAAAATGGGTCAACTTTTCAGAACTTGGGTTTAGATTTCTCATATTTTGTGTCAAATTGGTAATTTTTTTTTAAAAAAGGGTCCAGATTATTCACATTTTTGCGTAAAATGGGACAACTTTTAAAAAATGGGTTAACATTATTTTAATTTACGCGTAAATGATATTGTCCTGATATTGTCCCACACTGTTTAAAATCCTGGCTACGGCATCTAGAGGTACGGTATGAAACTCGCCTTGACAATGAGAGGTTTCAGGTACGAATCCCGCCAGATATACTTGTCTCAGCCATGGCGTATCGCCCCTCCAAAAAATACTCGCCCCACCCCCTCCCCCCCAGTCGTCCTCCAAATAAATTCTTAAATTCATGCTGAAGTAGTTAAAAATCACCTCAAATCCCTTATTTTGCGAGCTAGCACCCTCTCACCCAATCATCGAGACCCCCACCCCCCATTTCACCTTCGCGTGACACGCCACTGCCTCAGACACTGAAAAGCAACCTCTCGCTCTCAAAGGCAAGTGTCAGACCCATAATTAGACCACGGAGAAACATATGGTATACGCGCAGATCTACCACCAGGCATCTTCTCTAATACAACCTGACTGGGAACGCCCAGAAAGCCTATATGTCTAATTTTAATATAATATGTATGTGGACAATACTATAGCATTCATCATAATTAAATAATAGCTGAATGTGACCTACTGTAATGACATCGACCTGGAGACACGCTATATCCGCTGTAATACAACTCACACTGAATTTCATTGTTGTCATAATCTGTCTCGCCTACAAATTTGTCTGGATTAACATGAATCTGGAAAATAAAATGAATATCGATAACATATTAAAGAGACACTAATTATCAACAAATCTAGTATATACTACAACGAATGTATGATTTATCAAATATGAATTCTTCTTTTGAATAATCGAATATGCTATCAACTTCAAATGTAGGATGAGATACATAATTATTCAAACCATTCATTTTCGCTAATAATAAAATGATTAGGTGATGTAAGAGTTTCTGCAAAAAGAGGAACACTATTGCGTCCGGAAAGATTTACCTTATTGTTATAATCAATTGAAAGCTAATACCCTACATAAATAAAAAATGTAAATATTACATTTTTTTTTTCGTTTTGAGCAGTCATATAGATTTTTTTTTAACTGGTGCTCCATTTTATATAACCAATGGACAGTTAAAAATGAAAATTAATTATGAAGACTTACGAAGTTCATAATAAATATTATTAACAATGAATAATAAGTATTAATGACAATTAACACCGTAAAATCTCGAAAAGAAGCCCAATGGGCTTAATCTCGAGAAGAAGCCCATCTCGAAAAGAAGGCTATTGAAAGTTCACAGAAAAAAAACAAAAAAAAACAAAAACAAAGAAGCCCAGGGCTTCAATTTTTACGGTAAGAATAATAATATAAAATAAGATAACTATGAACTCTGTATTATTTGGTTATTCATTTTTTTTTTATCTAACTTTAATTCTATAATACAAATTTAAAACATATTTATCATCATTTTATATTATTACCTTACCATTAATAACATTATTACTATATCATTATAGTAGAACTGTTAATATTGTTTATCAATATTATTATATTCTTCCCATCAACATAATCATCATTATCATATTATGTTGATTATTGCTATCAGTCATCATAATATTATAGCAGAATTTCTACTCTTTTCATTATGTCCATCTGATTATCTTACCTTAAGAATATAGTTTCCTGATTCGACCCCTGTAAGATCTATCCATTGACAATCTATGCTATGCTTGTAATTATCTTTACAATTAACAGAGATTCCTTGTTCTGTTGTACAAGTAAATCGTTTAGTGTGTCCGGGATCACATTCGGTGTCCTCTAGACAGAAACTCGCTTTATGTCCTTCTGCGACCTTCTCTCCATCTCGACTAATCAAGTCGTATGTTGAGAATACTTCCATGCTGTGATAATGGCTGTAGGAAAAATATGAAATATGAATCTAAAATAAACCATTCATTTTATTATCCTCATCGTCCACTTAATAAACTACTTGATGAAATAGTATACGATAGAAATGACTAAGCAGAAATTTCAATGAAGAGTGGGATGAAAAGAGAATTGACGTGATTTGATCTTGAAATGTAATGATTTGCCTTTTATTGTTCTATGGAACAATTGCACGCTTATTAAAGAGCGATGAGGTAGGGAATGTTACCATCATGTGAAGAGAAAATATCTGTAATTATATTGGGGGAACAGTGTTGCCAATAACTTTGGTATATCTTATGCTTTTGACCAGGTCTAACTTCAGATCTGATTTAGATCAAAACAATTCAAAATACAGTTTCCCCGCTCTCCAATTCAGACCACTTTGGGACCTGAAAATTTGGGGTGGTCTGGGGGTTCGGTCTCCATTTAGAGGGTTCTGAATCTAAATCTGAATATACACTGACAGAGGACCCCACTGCGTCAGTGTGCGTCATCGATTTGCAAATATTATAGGCCTAGGTGTTATTAGTTATAAAAGATTATAAAAGTATATATCTGACTGGTAATTATTTTGAAATTGCCAAAAAGGTATATAATTTGGATGCTTTTGAGCAGGGTTAGCTTTGTGTTAAAAGATTGACAATAGTTATTTGGTTCTTTGAAAAAGCGGTATCGAATTAGGGATCTCGAATTGGTGGGTGCACTGTATGCTTTTTTTTCTTTCTTTTTTTCACACAGAAATCATTAAATTGATTATCACTTAAATCAAGTGTAAATTTTATAGGAGAAGTATTATTTAGTTGGCTGTAATTGGTGAGAACAAATACAAGTTTAATGTATAATTTTAATCGAACGACTTACAATTTCAGCAACTGATTAATTAAGTTACATTAATTAATACAATTATTTTTAAGAACGGCAAGCTTATATAGTGTAAAACATGTAAATTCATAGCTTACAGATGACATGCGTGCCACACCCAGTCGTTACGTTGCAAGAATGGTTTAAACGCAGCTAAACCTCGGTTCAAAATGACAGTTGAGAATCGCAGCAATCGCCTAGATCCACCATATTTGTCAGGAACACTGGATAAACATCCTTCTTCTGCAGCACATTTTAGAAGATGTCGTGGCATGTCTTGCAGGTAAAGATACTCTCTGAGTCTGTGTACATCTAAGACCACGTCGGGAAGTGCTAGAACAAAAGAGAGAAACACATTAATCTTAACATTTATTAATTATTACTTAAAGACTGAAAAACCATTTTGCTGCTCCTGAGACAACTACATTTAACTCAAGCTACCACTTACGAAAATAATCCGTCTCGTATGCTTATGCTTTATAAATATACAAACGATAGTATAAATCGTATTGATTGTTTAATATCGTGACCTTTGACATAGTTATGCGTAGTTGAAACTACAATAATAGGCTAAAGCCGGGCACTCACTGCGCCCGACGGTCGTCGGCCGGCACGATTCTAAGAAAAACGCAAAGCCACGACACGCGCGCAATGGATCGTTTTTAATGACGATCCGTTCAGACCGCCACCGACAAACAGCAGACGGCGGGGCGTCATCTAGCGCTCGCAGGAAGCGAAGTTGGATTTGTCGGCCGACGGTCGTACCACAGTCGTACAACGCAATGAGTAACCGGCTTTAGATTTGACGAGACAGGAAGCCACAACTTCGACTACTCACCCACATCGCATATGACTCCAGCACGCATTGTTGGTGAACTGCATGTGAAGTTGGCCCTAATCGTGTGAGGACAGTCCATTAAACTCCATTCTTTACCTGTGCAATGTACATCACCCATTATCATGGCTCCTCTAAGCCTACTGCCATAATAGTATGTTGTCTGAGAAAATTAAAATACTAGTAATAAATATTATATATATATATAAACCGATACTACAAACAAGGATTTGAAGGCTTTATACATGGGTACATAAGAAACCAGTTAACATGAAATTTGAATAGGAATGGCTGATAACATATAATAC